GTATATGATATTTGCTCCATGTACAGCACTTTGTATACAGCGTTAGTTGTTTTAAACTGCTCTATAAATAGAGTTGAGTACACGATCAGCGATTCATATATATTAAAAAATATATTTTTTTCACACACACACACACACACACACACACACACGCACACACATACACACACACACGCACACACGCACACACACACACACACAGTTTCCAAATAATTTTTGCCTATTTGTGGAAGGAACGCTTGTAGCTGTAGTTACGGTAACGTGTTATTGACTGACGTCACTGTACGAGCAGCCCAGCCCATTCGGCGACAGAGTGAGAGGGACCGTCAGTGCTGCTCGAAGTTCCTGGACAAATCCAACCTCACAATTTGGGCGACACGGAACTGACAGAACCTGCTCGACAGAAATTTCGCCAAAACACCGCCGAGTACTTGCTTTGCTTTGACTCTTGAGGCTTCTTCGGTGACAAGTGAAAGGAGACGGTGAGTGCGAGGCATCATGCAACGCAACTGTTGACTGAACACTTTTTTTTTTCCATTGAAATTTTAAGCAAGCGCTACTTGTTTTCCACGACGTGTTGCGTTTTCCTGCTGCGTTGTTTACTTGAGCGTATTTCAGCGTTTGTGAGGGGCATTTACGGTTTCTTGAAAACACACCACTCCCTCTGAATTACTGCGAGGTGATCCTCTGGAGATGTTAACAGTCCACCAGCAGCTCATTTTGCTTTTTTTATGTGCGCGTTGCTGTTGGAACTTATCCTTGTCAAACACAAAGGGGACCTCAACATTATGCAAATAGCAGCTCCTTCATTAAGTACGTGCACAATCGAACAAAATCCGACGAAAACAGCCACGTGACAAAAGCTGTGTTTGCCAATCTTAACTGAGCCATGGAACATTTTAGAAAAATTCACACCAAAGGTTAGTTGTGTACCTTCCATGTAGCAGAAGAGTCTGCCTGTCACCCGAAATTCCGAAAACACTGAATACAGTCAATATGTGTGGTTCATGAAAAACGGAGATAAGTGAGGAAAAAAAAAAGAGAAAATATTGGAAGTGAAATGAAAAAAAAATAAGACTATGCAACTTTGCCGGTGCCAAACTGAATATGCATAGACTGTAGTTTTAAGTTGTAATATCAACATTCACCACTAGATGAATGTACATCACAGTCCTGGACTGTGATGTACCGTCCATTGTGTGTAGAGTATATATCGTCCGGTACTGTACGTATTGTCCAATGTATGTGGTGTAGCTTATGTGTATGTATTTGTTCAATGCATATAGCAGCAAGGAGGGTATGACCTCCGAGACAAGTTTCTCCTATGGGAGACCAAATAAAAAGTCAAATCAAATCAAATCAAATAGATGGCAAACATGGCCTAGTCGCACTTACACCAATTCTTGGATTGTCCTATACTGTACTACCACAAGACTAATATTTTTTTCTGTACAGACAGGACAAACCTAGTATTTCAATAATGTTACCATTTTGACTGAGTGGATTTTTTGTGGAAAAATCCACAAAACGAGATCTTGCGCTTAAAGAAGTGGTCAACGCTCCAATTTACCGCTATTTTTTATTTTATTTTTTTTATGCCGCCCCACCAGGCTAAAAACAATATTGTGATTAAATATTTGTGGAATATGAATTCAAATGTCAAAATCAAATCGAAGCAGTAATTTAGTGCCGTCCTCGAATGGTCATTTTTTTTGTTTGAAATATTTTGCCCATTTCTAAAATTGCATTTTTGTCAAAACATCTTGTTAGGAAGTGTGTGTGGTCCTATGTGGCCCCCCCAAGTAGCACTCATGAAAAATGGTGGCCCCCTCCAGTATTGGAGTGATTTGAGTTGCCCATCCTTGATGTATATAATGCGGGTCATACGTCTTAGGTGAGGGGTAGACAAGTTAGAGTTGAAGTAAATGATTGCATTCAGTTTTCTCTCTCTATATTGATACACTAAAAATGTAGGCTCTACCCGTTTTAATTAAAGTCTGCAAGATTTTGGACATGAAATGTAAAAAATGACGACGTGTGTTATCCAAAAGATGAGCAGAGCTGTAGGGGAGGAAGGAGGTGGGCGGGGGGGACATAAAACAGAAGATGATGGGGTGGTCAAGGGGCGTGTCGGGGTTTATAGCTTTGTCACAACTGTAAAAGTCACGCGGCTGACGGCGACGGGTTGAAGTGCACCAACAAGCCAAATGGCTGCAGGTTGTGAACAAATACCTGCGGATTGAATAAGTGGCATTCCTTTTCTGATTTACGCCTACTGTTCTGCACTTGTGGGTGCTTTTTTTTTTTTTTCTTTTGGCATTGGAGATCAAGCAACTCAACAAGTGAATTATTTATTGCATTACTCTTCCACTACAAAGCACTTCTCCATCATTTCGAAGTTCAGATTTATTTCTTGAATGTAATTGTTAGTTTTGGCCTCGCCAGCAGGTTGGATCGTGGTAAATTGTGCCAGTTTCAAGGTTTAATCTCCCGGCCAATCCACTTTTGGACTGGCCAAGGTTCACCAGGCCGTCCCCTGAGAAATGACAGACCAACAGCCAGCCGCTGGACGGTCTGTCACCAGGGAGGCCCGTGCCGCGGCCACTCATTGCGCCTCTTTCCGGGATACGCTTGTCGGGCCTGTGTTTAGTCTGCAAGCGCGGTACGGGCGTGGCGCCTCAATCCTATGTTGAGGATCCAATCGTTTTTTTTTTTTTTTTTGTTTTGGTGTATACAATGTCTCTTGCTAGCTCTCTCATGCTCCTTTCTCATTTGACTGCCCTGTCAACATATCGTCCTTCCGAAACGTTCGCTTTTCCCGCCACTGCTGAGTGACAACACGCGACGATGCGCCTCGGGATGTGTGGATTTGGACGACACCGGGTGTGAATTTCAGTTTGCGTTCACCGAGGCGATGTGGCGCGCTGACGCATGTTGAGGATGAATCATCCTGTTGCAGGATCAGGACCCTCTCCTGCGGTTGCGTCAACGCGTCCCATTTGGCCTTCAATGTGCACACGCACGCCCACGCATGCTTTCAAGCCCACAAAGAGCACAATATAATAGGCGGCTTTTGTGCGAGGTCGATGCTTTCTGCCCGAACCGCTCAGCACTGGCTGTATGGTGGCTGCGAATTAGCTTCCGTCACATGCCAATGCATTCAGGTCCTCAAATACCTGCCTCGAGCTCATGGCAACCTTGGAGCGCTTCATGTTATGCAACAAGAGCTGACCCAAGACGAGCGCGTCGGCAAATGGTCTTCTTTGCATCGTGTTGTTTTGTGCGCCTGCATATTTACAAAGGGACTCTTTGACTTATTTGTCATAAGATATCGTGATACCTTACTTGGCTGTATCAATATTTGCAATATGGATTACAACAACCACCTCTCACTCGTTCATTTTATATTCTCTTCTCATTAAAAAAAAAAAGTATATATTTTTTCCAATTGATTTGTGTGTGCATCTAATATTGGAATAATCAAGTGTGCTTTCGGAGCATGCCACCATTTGAAGTCTCGTCGCTTGCCTTGATGATGACTATGGCACAACCGCAGAGCTTTTGTGGTCTGCGAGTAAAGCCCCAGGCAGGATGGGAGGCGACAGGACGTCCTGCCGCGCACAAAGAGGATGCTCACATTCTAACAATTCAAGGATCTCACCTTGGAACCAAAAAAAAAAAAAACAAACAAACAAAAAAAAAACCCCAACACCAAAAAAAAAAAAC